GAACAGCCAGAGAGTTAGCTATACAGTTTATTTATGTTTTAATGGCATATCAGCAGTATTGGCTATATTCATGGCAACTACCTATTTTAAATATTATTAATATTTACTTGTAAAATAACAAATATTGATATAAATAAATATTATTAATTTATTTTAAATTATTATTTATTTAGCTATGTTAGCTTATACACTACCTGACAAAAGTCTTGTCGCCTATCCAAGTTTTAGGAACAGCAAATAGTAAATTGACTTCTAATTGATCATTTGTTATGAGACATGTCTTGTCATTTAGCAGAAATAATGTACAGTTTAGAATATAAAGTCATGGTGCAGTGAAAAACGAATGAATATTGTGTATGACTCCCATTAGCTTGGAGGACTGCATCCATACATATCTGCAATGACTCAAATAACTTATTAATAAAGTGGCAAAAAAAAAAAAAAAAACATTCTAGCAGGACTCCCAGAGTTCATCATGATTCTTTGAATTCATCTTCAATGCCTCATCCATCTTATATGTTTATGTCTGGTGACTGGGCTGGCCAATCCTGGAGCACCTTGACCTTCTTTGCTTTCAGGAACTTTGATGTGGAGGCTGAAGTATGAAAAGAAGCGTTATATGCTGAAGCATTTGCCCTCTCCTGTGGTTTGTAATGAAATGGGCAGCACAAATGTCTTGATACCCAAGGCTGTTGATGCTGCCATACACTCTGCTGATCTCTCCTATTCCCCCATACTGAATGTAACCCAAACCATGTTTTTCCGTTCACCAAACTTGACTAATATCTCTGAGAATCTTGGGTCCATACAGATTCCAATAGGTCTTCTGCAGTATTTGTGATGATTGAGATTCAGTTCAACAGCTGATTCATCTGAAAAAATCTACCTTTGGCCACTTTTCCAAATGATCAACTAGAAGTTATTATTTGTTGCTCTGGGATTGTTATTAGTTAAAAGAGATAGTTTAGCTAGTTCAAGTTTTTATTTTTTCTGTTTAACACAAAACAATATATATATAAAAAAATATTAACTTATAATTTCTGTCAATAAAAGGTTCCAAATTTTGTGGTTCACATGGTGGTTTCTATTTATTTGTAGTTGTGAATTGCATTATGGAAGTTTTATCTCTGCTCTGTCAACCTTTGATGTTGACAATTTAACTCTGCAGTTTAACAAATTGACTTTTATTGACTGTTGTTATTGTTGTGGTTGGAGACGAGATATTGTTTAAGAAATAAATAGAGATAATTAAGTCTGTAAAATAACAGAAAAAATAAAAGCAGTTTATTACCAGGTTATTGTACCAAAATATACAGCACAAACAGAAAATATATCACTTTAAACTATTTGAAATATCAACAAAATGCACTTTTTTAAACTAATATTGTCCAGGTTTCAGAGAAAAGATCAAGATCCCATAATGCAATTCAAAAGCATAAATAAGTGAACAAAAAAACATGAATCACAAAGTACGGAAAAATGCTAATTTACCGATTTTTTTTTTTTTTTTACAGTTTAGTTATTGACATTCACAACAGAAAAAAAAACTCTAGTAGCTTCTTATGTTTTCAACAGATGAAATAGAAACTATAACAAGTGAAATAAATAATGACCAAATTCTTATAATATTTTCTATTCCTTAAATATTTCTGTAACAATTTCTAATTATTTACTTAATAAAAGCACATGGCAGTCAGTCCCTGAAAATACAAACCTCCCGCAGAGGCTGCAAGAAACTTTTCACTGGGTAAAGCTTTTTCAACGATGAGGTGAGTGATTGCTTCCTTATAAATCTGAAATATAGTCAAATGTGGCAATGAAAACATTGTGCAAAGTACATGAGGTAATACAAAAAGAAAGAACAAAAATATCTTGTATCCATTGTATAAAGTCACCTTACTAATCTGGTCTACAACCTTACAATGAGATAGTTTGGAAAAGGTCAAGAACTTTGAGGTTAAGTTTATTCTCTTGAGGGGTTCAATTAGTAGAGTGAGAGAGATCTGTGACTATATTTAGATGGTATTGAGGGCAAGGACAAAATTACACAGTCCGAAATACACTGTAGCATCAGGTAGAAATTAGAGTCATTTTTCAGGGCTAATCACCAACACTTTATCATTTTTCCCCACACTTTTGATTATATGGAAGACAAGATAAGTTTGAGTGAACTTTAACACTTTTTTGAGTGAAGGCTTTATTATATAGGAGGAAATGTATACACACACACGCACGCACGCACACACGCACGCACGCACGCACGCACGCACGCACGCACGCACGCACGCACACACACACACACACACACACACACACACACACACACACACACACACACACACACACACACACACACACACACACACACACACACACACAGACACACACCAGTCAAATGTTTGGGATGAGTAGGATTTTTTTAAATATATTTTTAAAAGAAGTCTTTTCCGCTCAGCAAGTTTGAAACTTATCTAAGATTGACAGTTATTTATGACATTTATTTCACATAAAAAGTACTGTAAAACTGTGAAATAGTAATGTAATTTAACATAACCATTTTATTTTTTAATGTAGTTTGAAATGTAGTTTCTTCTTGTAATTCAAAAAAAAAAAAATTCTAGTGTCACTAATCCAGTTTTCAGCGTCTGGTGAATCATTATGATACGTAAGAAATCATTAAAATGATAATCTGCTGTTCAAAAATAGATGTATTATTATTATTATTATTATCAGAGGTGAAAACTGTTGGGCTGCTTTTTTAGTGGAAACTGATACAATGATGTATGATGTAATGATGAAGTAATGATGCTGAAATTACAATGTTAAACTACATTCAATAAGAAAACCGAAAAATGGTAATAATATGTAACAATTTTTAAGTATTATCAAATATGTTGAAAAAACATATTGGCCTCAAACTTCAAATAAAAAGGCAAAATAAAGCCCAACAGGCTCATCAGCAGCTAGAGATGTTGAATAAGACTAAAAACTTTTGTTCTTTGAAAAGTAATGGCTGGAAGTACATTATTCAACTTATTATGGTTACTTAAAAAAAAAAAAACAATTAGACAAAAAAAAAGGTCTGAGCTGTAACAATATACCAGTTCTTTAATTAAATTAAAAGTCTGCTAAAAGAAAATGTGAATAAGTGGACGATTTGCTGATAACTGAATGAGCCTGTGTTATAAATCGCTTGTTACTGGAGAATAGCATAACTCGCAATGTCATGATTGACCAGTCAGAATCAATTATTCCTAAATAAATGAGCCATTTAATGAGTACACATTTGCAAACAACAAACACACAAACAAAATGAAAGAACATTAACAACAACAACAATAATAATAATAGAAACAAAAAAAATAAATCAAAAACCATCTGAAACAGAGTGGATTGCATTAGAATTGATCAATGCACCACTATCGGTAGATTTTCTTGCTTAAAAAATGGTCATTGGCAAGCACCACTGATCATTTGAATATGTAAATGATTGTTATTACTATTTTTTTTTATTTACAAGCTAATAGATATATCTAAGATGTTCATTTGCAAAGATGAAACGGTGAACTAAGTTCACATTTGTATAACTAAATTAATCAAAACATTAATTTAACATAATCATCTAAAAATAGAGAGATTGTAATTTCTATGTACAGAATAATTTACTTGTGTCTGTGCATGTCTTCTAAAAAGTGTATGTAGCGATTCAATACTGAAGCTGTTTTGAAACTGTTGCAGGGCAACTTTGACATAATTCTGTGCAACTGGTCTGTGAAATATACAGTAGTCAACATGTCTTGTCTTAGGACAATTTTGAAAAACTTTTTTCATCCACTTCAGATGTTGACCACTGTCTAATGCGTGTACGTGTGTTTCTTTTAGTAATTTATCTATCCAGCTATTCAACTAATTTTCATCTAATGTACATTCAGCTGATATAATATAAAAAGGTATTATCTTAATTTTGTGAAATTTTTGTTTGTGTCCTCGTGTGATTTTCCTTTAATATAAAATTATATTTGGTTTAAATTTTAGTACAACAGCACAAGTCTCCATATGCTATTTCCCCACAACTTGTAACAGGTGGATAACAGGATGGAAGAACATAAATGATGTGTCATAAGTGCAGATACTTACAGAGCCCCCCATGTATACGCCCCCTAGATGTTTGATGCCCTGAAGTAAAAGTCTTTTTTGAGAATTATTCCTGAAGCCAGACGTTTGAAAGACATATGTATTGTCCACCATCCTAGTGAAAAGATAACATGTTAAATAACACATATAAGATAACAACTCTCAAATAACATTAACGATACAGTTCATTAATTATTGATAACAACAATATACAGAATATACTGACTGATAACAAACTCGCAATAAGTTTATTATGAATCGAAACTGTTTGCAATTTTACCAGCTGCTTTACAAACTTGAGGTGTGTGTACATCATTTCTATATCTTACCTGAAACCGAAAACAGTGAATTTACTAATGATGATGATGTAACTTATTAATGTACTTGGGTTTACAACAACAACAACAACACGCTAAACATCATCACAGTCCATTCGTACACATAAAGTGACATTTTATCCAGCAACGCTTTCAGTTCTGTAACGTTATATATAGCACAAACACAACATGACTATATGACTCTAACTGTAAGACTACATATTAACTACATATTTTTCTCTATGCTATTTTGCAAGTTGTACTTCAAAACTAGCGTACAGCGCAATGGGTGACCACGTTATTCTAATAGGGGTGAACACAATCATTAAATGCAGTTTAAAATGAATTTATCCAAATGAAGGCACATTCAATAATAGAATAAACTAAACTAAACTAATTCAGCAAAACTGAGACCAGTTATTATATAAAATTGCAAATGAAAACAGCCGAAATCTAGGAGTAACTTTTAAGCGCTCCCCCCTATTCTCTCTGTGATTTGCTCTCTTCCATAACACGGAAATTCGGATATGCTTCCGGTTGGTTGTCAGAGACGCTTTGCGCTTGAGAATCACAGCAGTATATCATCACGTGTTGATAAACAAACCGATGCGACGGCTCAATAGTTATATATTTATTCTCGTAAGCGAGCTTGACAGCCTGTTATTTAACCATCCGAGAGCCTTTTAATCTCACACGACCCTTTCGGCTGCAATCTAATGTTGTAGATCGATATAAATGACTGAAACCCTCTCACATCCCCATTAAATCCCTCGCAGTTTCCCCTCCATTAATGCTGTCTTTTTCCTTGGGTATTTTTACTCGACACTATTAATGCTCTTAGATGTTATTGTTATGTCACACGCACTTTAGACCATTTAGACAATTTCAGTGCAATGAAAATTAAAGATTGTGGGAAGAAATTCACTTGACAAGTCTGCTTGGATTCTAGCTTTGATAGACCTTCGCTGCAGTTGGATTTAATGTGACGAAGAGTCCCTGAAATCACAACGTGAAAAGGTACTGTGTATTTTGCCTTAACCTCAGTGTTGATTGGTGATTTTGTGCTGTGAGATGTATAGTTGTGTAGAGCATTTGCACTGTAGCAACAGGTGTGCTCTTAAAGGGATAGTTCACCCAAAAATTTTCCCCACACACAAATTCTAAACTTGTATTTTTATTTTGTGTATGTGTGTGTGGCACTTAAAATTACATATTATGAAGAATGCTTGGAAAAAAGGCATCCATTGAGATACATAGTTGTAAAACAAACAAACAAACAAAAATAAAACATGGAAGTTTGTGGCTTTTTCCAACATATATAGTGGCATTTAACTACATATATTTAGTTTTTGCATGGCAAATGTGACAGGATACACATTAATATACTTTACTGTATGGATATCTGTTATGTTCATTTATTTTCTTTTCGGCTTAGTCCCTTTATTAATCCGGGGTCGCCACTGCCGAATGAACCACCAACTTATCCAGCACATTTTTACGCAGCGGCAACCCATCTCTGGGAAACATCCACACACACTCATTCACACTCATACACTATGCACAATTTAGCCTACCCAATTCACCTGTTCCGCATGTCTTTGGACCGTGGGGGAAACCAAAATACCTGGAGGAAACCCATGCGAACGCAAGGAGAACATGCAAACTCTACACAGAAACGCCAGCTGGCCCAGCCGAGGCTCGAACCAGTGACCTTCTTGCTGTGAGGGGACCCTACCTTGCTGTGAGGGGACACTACCTACTGCACCACTGCGTTGCCCATATCCGTAATGTCAATGTACAAAATAATCCTAATTTATAAAAAATAATAATAATCAATTATATTTATATACCACTTTTGTGGACACTCAAAGCGCTTTACATATTTTTGTGGAGGAATCTTCTTATCTATCACCAGTGTGCAGCATCCACCTGGATGATGCGGCAGCAGCCATTGCTCCAGACCACACAGCACAGCACACAGTAGCTGATTGGTGGAGAAGAGACAGAGTGATGAAACCAATTATGATATGACAGACATCTCAAGTCTCCCGCAAATGCATAGGGACTCCCAGATGCCCGCAAATGAATGATATTCTCCCGGAAATTGCACGTCTCCCACTCGGTCCTTACCAACGTCGCACACCCTTCTCCACAGCATCCCTCCCAGCTCTTCAGGTACATTGTATCTCACCCCCACCGCTCTTCGGGTATGTTGCGTGCAACTCACCCCCACCGCTCTTGAGGTATATCGCGCGCAACTTACCCCCACCGTTCTTGAGGTATGTCGCGCGCAACTCACCCCCACCGCTCTTCGGGTATGTTGCGTGCAACTCACCCCCACCGCTCTTGAGGTATATCGCGCGCAACTTACCCCCACCGTTCTTGAGGTATGTTGCGCGCAACTCACCCCCACCGCTCTTGAGGTATATCGCGTGCAACTTACCCCCACCGTTCTTGAGGTATGTCGCGCGCAACTCACCCCCACCGCTCTTCGGGATAGATACTTATTCACGTGAGTAGCAATCACACAATGTGAACTACGCGATTGGATCTTGCAGATGAGTCACCGATGCACATGAGATATTTGGCGTGCTAAATATCTGGACTTGTCTTAAAAGCGCTTATTTTCAGTTTATTTGGACACAGCGAATGGAGGAAAAAGTAGAGCAAATTTGGCAGGAGCACTCGGTGTGATGTGTCATGTGTGCATTATCACAACTGGGTCAAAAAAAAAAGAAGTTGAGAAGAAATTGCTAATTCCCTTTAAACCCAGGTGAGCAAATATGTACATTTTCTACCCCATTAAAGACCTCTTTCTTATTATGTAGGTAATAACAAAAGATAAACTACGTGTTTTTAGTTGTGAGATGTAGTTTTGACAAAGTTGTCTGCGACTCTTCTTATAGTAAAGTCATGCAGTGTAAAACCCCCTGTCGCCGATCCATCTTGCAGTGTAAACAAAGCAGTGACAAAATGTTAGCCCAGATTGTCATACAGTGTAAAAACATCTGTAACATGACTACTTTGAAAATCATGCAGTCTGAACTTGACATTAGTTTCAGTGGGCAACCAGTTGCAGAGAGCTAGCTGCCATCCACAAACCGGGATTGAATCGTCTTCTTTTATAATTGTAATAACATGCAGCTGTGGGGATAAATTACAGCGATAACCGTCTTTATTACAAACATGTACTGTTTTAAAGCACACACTATACCTACACATATTTCTGTCCAAACAAGATCTAAAACATGATTTTCATCTTAGGTGCCCTTTATGCCTAAATTACTTTCTTTATTTTGAAAACAGGAGAAGCAAGGAGACAAATAAATTCAAAGACTAAAGAGAATGGGAATATGTTATAACAACACAATGCATTCTAGTTATTTAGGACAAGGAAGCCTGATTCACATTGAATATTTCTTTTTCAAATATTTCCCAAATGATGTTTAACAGCGCAAGGAATTTTTTCATTGTAATTCCAAAAATGTTTTTTCTTCTGAACAAAGTCTTCTTTGTTTTATTACCCTAACCTGCCTAGTAAATCTAATTAATCTAGTTAAGGACAATTTAGCCTACCCAATTCACCTGTACCGCATGTCTTTGGACTATGGGGGAAACCGGAGCACCCGAAGGAAACCCACGCGAAGGCAGGGAGAACATGCAAACTCCACACAGAAACACCAACTGGGCCGAGGTTTGAACCAGCGACTCAGCGACCTTCTTGCTGTGAGGCGACAGCACTACCTACTGCGCCACTGCCTCGCCTAAATATTATAATGTAAATATTAAAATGCCTTTTAATCTCAAAAATATCTCATAAAATATAGTTTACTGTCATCATGGCAAAGATAAAAGAAATGAGTTATTAGAAATGAGTTATTAAAACTATTATGTTTAGAACTGTGTTGAAAAAGTTTTTTTTTTCCATTTTTTTTTTACTCACACTCACACTCACACTCATTTTCCCAAACATCAGCCATCTTTCTCCAATTGCAATATACAATGGCACAGTTTGTCGACTGCTACTCTGAGGTCCAGCTTTTTCGTGATGGAGGCACAAAGCTAAAGTGCTTTCTCTGCTTGCATAAACATTCATTTTTATTGTTGATATATTGTGCAAGTTTCCTAGGATGTGGAAACTGTATTCCCTTAAAAAAAAAGCAATGGAAACCGAGGTTTATTCACAAATAGTTACACAATGTTGGATCCTTTATTGGATGCTTCTGAAACATCCGACTTACTGTTTTTGGTAGACTTTGGCTGCATTTAGGGTGCTTTTACATCTTTAGTTTGATTCATTTGGTCCTGACCAAGGGCAACGTATGATAGCTTGTAGCATTTTCTGCCATCTTTGGGTCGTTTTCACACCACACTGAATGCTTTTGTCCGAACCATTTAAAAAGAACAAAAATGCAGTCATCTGAAAAAAATCACTCATCGGCCAGATGTTTTTGAATGTATTTCCTAAACTGTTTTTTCATTTGGTCAGAATACACGTGCAGGAAAATGCTAATGAAACTCCCGCAAGTAAACAAACTGGCAAACACAAAATGCCATTTTTTTTTTACTATGGAGCTATGACTGCTCTGACTGATTTTATCCCTGCTCATAGTATACTATATGATTTGTACACATCACTTTAGACCACAGGTGTCAAACTCAGTTCCAAAAAGGCCGCAGCTCTGCACAGTTTAGTTCCAACCCTAATTAAACACACCTGATCAAACTAATTGAGCCCTTCAGGCTTGTTTGAAACCTACAGGTAGGTATGTTGGAGCAGGGTTGGAACTAAACTGTGCAGGGCTTCGGCCCTCCAGGAATTGAGTTTGACACCCCTGCTTTAGACAAACTATACATTTCGAGAATGAAGCGCGGCTGCGGCTGGAAAACAATTTTAATGCATCGCATGTCACTTCAGAGGGAAGTGCGACATGGTCGTCTTGCAGAAATATTCTCAACGATCCATCCGGTAATGTTTTTCCCTCTCTCTGTTGGTAAAGCACTGCCAACAAATGTTTTCCCTCCACATTCCATAATGCACAGCACATCAGCCTATGGCAGCTGTATTAGTCTAAAAAGGCACAGTACTTTTTGCAGTTGGGTCTGTTTTATTTCGGATCATATTCTCACCACTAACGAACTGCTCCAGGGTCGGTTTGAAAGCGTACCGAGACCACCTCTTCAAGGAGGTCACTGTATGCTTTTTTGGTCCGCTTTTGGTGCGCACTTGAGTATGATTGCTACATTCACACCTGCCAAAATGAAACGCACCATAAAGGTAAAACAAATGCTAGAGCGATTCAACCAAACTAAGTAAGGCAGGTGTAAAAGCACCCTCACACTGCAGATCTTGATGGTCACTTCCAATTTTGTTTCTGTTTCCAAATTTTTTGCTGACTTGCTTACATTAATTTTTAAAAGTGACTCGTATCCGATTGACTCCATTTACACAGTACAAGGCAAAGACGTAATGACGTAGAAAAAAAATTGGGCGCTGACTGACAGCTGATAATAAAAGAGCGGCCTTTTCTCTATTCCTGTATTTAGTCTGTTTATTGTTGTTTTATTTCTGTATTTATGCGTGGTTTATTTAAAAAAAATCTTTTTAACAAGTTGTTGTTTTACTATAGAGTATGACAGAAATGTTCTCTTTTGACCATATTCTTTTAATCTTTTAAACCAGTAGGCATTTTATTGTAATGTCCATCACATGATTTCTGCACGTGGTGTATGCAATAGTTTTATATTAGTTTATATGTGGTGGATGTTGCACACTCTCTCTCTCATTAACTTGCCTAGATACTTGTGCTACATGACAATATAAAAGCTTTTTTAGTCGTCATGTATAAGATTTAAGGTCTGGGACTTTGCTGAAGTCTGTTTCGAAATGAAAGCCTCAGTGTTGATGTTATTCGATACAGTTTTTAATGATGTGCGACTTCTGATCTACCTGCTCACACTGCAGACAGGAGGACACAGATTCAATTCATATCGGATAAATTTCCACAAATGAACAA